AATTTTTTTCAGTCATTCTGCATACCCTCTATGACCTCTTTAAATACCCCCTAGGGGTAAGCGTACCCCCAGTTGACAACCACTGATGTAGTTCAAAGAATGTCCTGTATACTAATCTTAAAAGATTTGAGAAGAGACACACCTTATATTCAAATGCTATAAAACCATAAGACACTGCTGTTTATTTACCTTCACAGCAGTTCAGGAAAGGACATGGAACTTAAAAACACCACCTGTTTTTCTCCCCCTTTTATCAGTGATATTTGCAAAACCCTGTTTCTATCGCATGGGATTTCATTTGGAGGTCCCCGAGATCTTCCATAGGAAAGATGAAAGAACGAACTTTCTGTAACTAACTCCTACAGCTGAGCCTCCCACCCTGCCCACAAGATAGAGCCCATCTCTCCCTTCCCAAACTTAGAGAAAATTCAGAAATGTGCATGCAGGTCAGGACAGAGAATCCCAGCAAACAAAACCATGTGATCCCTTGAACTCTCTAAATCAAATTAATTCTGGACCATCAATATGAATGAGTCTTTGGGCCTTTCCAGTATATTTCCTTATACCTCATAAAGGAATAATGTCATTATCTCTGGAGAAAGGACATGGGGAGAAAACTTGCCTTACACGTGTTATTATTAAGTTTGTTTTTAGTGCTTGCCATTAATAAGGAACAAGTGGTTCTTTCTTTAATATGGACAGCAGTGAAATTTTATGCAGAATATTTATGATCCAACAGAGGAAAGCAGAGACCAGATTTCTAAGCATTCCAAGCTAAGCAGACCATGTGATAGGGAGAGGGGGTTACATGCAAGGTGGCTGCATCAGTTCTAGGAAGTAGAAACTGCACAAGTTACAAAACTGCTGCCATAATGTGATTTCCCAATTATGAGATACTCTATAAAACATGCCAAAAGATAAATAATAAGACTAGCTTACATAACTGGAAAATGTGCCATTAGTCTGTTACAATTTGAAGATAACTGTTTTCACAAGTGAAGAACAACAACTTTATAGATATTGTGTCTGGGCAGCAAAAACAGTCAGGTAAGGAAAATGCAGCTCTTGAACAATTAAGAAGGGAGTATAGTACACTTGGGAAAAAAATACTTTGACAGATATAGTTCAATGTCATTTTATGTTTCTTTTCTAGAACAAATATATGGAGGCATGAAGAGTGCTGCTAATATGAAAGGGATGCCTTCCACAAATGAGGGTTAAAGAGGTGGATCTTTTTTATCTAAAACTTTGCATTAAAATAAGAAAAGAAATGAAAACATGCAATCCTGGAAGATGGTAATCAGATTTTAAAATTCAAAGATACAGCCAAATGTTAAGTCCCCATGATTCCACATATCACTACAGCTCTGTTGGTATAACAACAGTCACTCTATACCTTCCTCATGAGCTGGTGGGAAGACTTTCATCCCTGCAAACTCTACGTATCCCTAGCATAAATTCTGCTCATTCTGGTCTTGTATATTTGAGCACCAGCCCTAAGTTTGAAGACAAGAAGACAAGCCCCACATAAACCACTGCAGGATGGACAAGGTGATTCACAGGAGGAACTAGGAAGGAACAAAGTCAAGAGATCTCCTTTTAGTTAGGACAGTTAGTTAGATGGTTCAGACATGGCCCTCAAAGACATAATGGCAGAAGTTAATTACTGCGATACGCAGTAGCAATTTGAAGAAGTTAATCATTCAGCATAGGACTACTATGAAGAGTCAGTCCTGACCCTTCAAAATAGCTGCAACAGGAAGGAATGAACAAAAGTTTTAACATTTACGAACATAAATAGGATCCAGATTGAGACTTAGTGTATGCAAGTCAGTGAAGCTACATCTACTTGCAACACATCTGATTTTAACCCAGGAGATATCACTAATCTTTGCATTTACATCAGGCTCTTCACCACAGTATCCAAGCGCTTTTGGTTGGTAAAAACATTTTCTGCAATACGGGTGTACTTGGTAGCCGTGTTGGTCTGAGACAAAAAGACATACAAAAAACTAGAACTCTTGGTTCCAAAATGATACTCTCATAGTATGGTCTAATAAAAGGTATCTTTGTGAGCTATGTTGAGTAGCTCTTTGATGTGTTGATCAGGTAGAATTCCTTCCCTGGAGGGGCCTCCCTGCCTGCCATCTGACATAAAAAACTTCTTTGTTGTTCTGCAATGAAGTTTAAAATCCAAAATCGACTAAAATTCGGCATCTTCCATGTTTCAGGGGTGTACTCCTCCAGGGAAGGAATTTTACCTGATCAACACATCAAAGAGCTACTCAACACAGTTCACAAAGACATGCACATGGACCCTGAGGGACAGACTTCCATCTTCAGCTCCCTCTGTGTAAAAATGAAGTTTATTTCCTACTTATGGGGACTTTTTACCATCTTGTACCATCTACACTTTTTCCAAAGCCTGACGAAGGGACTTTGATCCCAAAAGCTTGCAGAAAACGACACTTTTCTTGCCATTTTCCAGTTGGTCTAATAAAAGGTATCATTTTGGAACCAAGAGTTCTAGATTTTTGTGCGTCTTTTCTGTAATAAGATTTTCACTAGAAAAGTCCCTTGTTTTGGCAAAAATCAGATCTAAGTCCTGAACCCAAAAAAAAAAGATGCATTACATCTGAAACTTTTTATACTTCACTATGCACATGTAACACAACACCCCATATAAGCAGTAGTAACAGAGAGCTTGATCTTACAAGGGGTTGGGCATTATGTCCTTCATTTAGCAATTACTAAATCCTGTGGTTAACTTCAAGCAGGTGAATAGTGCTGTTGAAGCCTTAACCTTTATAACCCCTTGTCTTGGGAAACACAAACAATTAAAATAAACACAGAGACTGCTGCTAATTCTTAAAACTATTTTGAGAGGTTAATTCAAATTATTCTGTGTTTAGAGCTGGCTGACTGCCTACTCATCAATAAGATGACTTCTGTGATCCAGAGGGAAGGTTAACTGGAGGTCAAGGGAAAATGCATGCCCTATTTGCCATTAGTTTCGCTTCCAAGGTTTTTGCAATTCTGATGCTAAAAAGCTCTGTTCCTTTTGCTGGATGATAAAATGAATTCCATCAGTTCCACAGATCTCACATTTAAAAGATCAGTTGATAATGTGGGTAACATGCCTAACAATGAGGATTACACAGGAATCATTCAAGCAGCGTCTTTGTTGGATTTTTATGTTAGTAAACTATCTACACCTTGACCATTCTCAATTTAATACAGGCTTCTCACCACTAAGGCATGCTATCATCTCCACAACAAATAGCCGAAGCCTAGGCTCCTTCTGCCCAATTTATAGGGAAAAATGAGACTGTTTGAAACCTCTGCTGAACTCAGCAGTTATCAATTAACTGATTGCACTAGCAAGTCAATTAGCATCATAAAACATTAATTACTGTTATATGGAGGCTTTGAGGTGTGACTATTTGAGTTACCTGGGGAAAAAAAAAATTTTAAATAAAAAAAAAAAATTCGAGAACTCTTGGTTCAGACATTATACCTTTTATTAGACCAACTAATAATTTATCTAGCATCTTTCTTTTAGTTTTTCTCTCATCTGCATACTGTATCCTGCAGTGGCCCACAAAATGCTTTCTGATTTTTCAATATTTTTTCCCTCCAGCATACATATGAAAACAAACCCAAATGAGCCATGTTTGCTGGGATAATGCAGTCTCACCACATTTTGGTGCAACTGGAGAAGTGGGTGCAAAGCTAAATTCTCTTAAAATGCTGAAGCTAGGGTGGGGGAGAAGTCTAATCAGATTTTAGTTTCTGAAGTCATGAGACTGAGAAAAAAGAAACTAGGTACTTCTCTACATTACCCAATTTCAGTTTCCTGACAGTGTGGTTTCCTGTATGACAAATGAAAAGAAAAAAAAGAAGGCTGAGGGCTTGTGAACACTGAAGTTGTTTTTGTATTGTGTTCCTCACGCACAGGATTTCTGGAACGTCAAAGTTTTCATGAATATAATTCTTTAAACAACACCTCACAATCCCCCAGGTCTTACTAGAAATACCTGTGGCACTTGATTAGAGAGTGCAGCCGGCTGGGATCTTCCCACAGAACTTCTCCTTCCCACCACCAGCACCAAAGCATTTGCCTAGGCCCTGCGGCAGAAACAATGGGTACGCAGGGCTTTTTAAGGGTTGTTGGTTGTAGCCAGGTTGGTCTAAAGACACAGGCAGGCAAGGTTCTTTGGGCAGAGGTGATACCTTTTATTAGACCAACTGAAAATTGGACAAATTGTTCTTTGCAAGCTGTCAGGCACAAACACCCTTCTTCAGCCATAGAGAGTCTGCTGGACTTTCCCTATGCCTGAAGACAACCAGCAGCTTCTCTTTAGGCCTGAAGGGCATTTGTGCCCAAAAGCTTACAAAGAACAAAGTTTTCCAATTATTTAGTTGATCTAATAAAAAAAATATCACACATACCCAAAGAACCAGAGCACCGGTGGGAGGAGAGGCAGAGATTTTTCTTTTGCAAACCATCACGGGTACATCACTCCCACGCTACCACCCCGCATGAGGGACATGTTGTGCAACTGCAAGACAAGCACTGCTTTACGCCAGCCGCAGCGGCTCTGGCAGCGCTGAGGTCAGGCCCCTTCAGCCTGGCTGGAAAAACAGTACAAGGGCTTGTGCTTTGGGAGCCAGAGGAGCGCAGCCAAGCCAAGCAAGGACCAGAGGAGCGTGCTGGTAGCTTTCAATTAGTCAAGGTGGTGGAGCTGGTTTACTGTGGTGGAGGATGCCTGGCACGCAGAGGGGTACAACCCCTACCCTAAGGAAGGGCACACAACCAGAGTACACACTTCCTGCTCCGGAGACAGCAGCAGGCGGGCCACAACAAGGCTTCCCCCTTTATGAAGGGGGGCGGGGCGATGCATGGGAGCGAGGCGCCCGCACCCCACTAAGGGGAGGCGGCGCCCCTGTCTCCAACGGCGAGTCACGAGACACCGGCTGTTACTAGCAGAGTGAGGTAACCCGGCGGCGGGCGCGCGGCGGTTGGCTGAGAACGCTGGTGCGGGCGCACTCATTGGCTGGGGAGGCGGAGCCTCCTAAGCTATAAATAGGGGCCGGCGCGGCTCCTTCGGGCTAAACGCCGCTTCGCTACCGTTCCAGTTGGGTGCTTTAGGACTTGCTGTTCACCGCCACATCGGGTCATGCTCGGAGCCTGACTAGGCGCCCGGGACACGAATGAAGAAGCAGCTGCTCCTCCTGTTCACTCACCGGGGACTTGTCAGCCGAGGGGGCCGCAGGGGAAAACGCCGCCGAAAATGGCCTCGTTCCATATCCGTGCCGCGCGCGCGGAGGACTGTTCTGACCTGCTGCGCCTTATCAAGGTGCGGGCGGAGGGGTGGGGTCTCGTGCGTGCGCAGTGGGAGCTGGGCATCTCCCCCTCCCCCGCCCTTTTTGCCGAGAGGGGGAAGTCCATTCGGAGGAGGAGGGAGGCTTGCGCATGCGCGAGTAAGGGGGGGGGGGAACACTTCTGCGGTGTTCTTGCCTGGGAGTCGAACGCGCCTGCGCACTAGCGTGGGCAGAAGCCAACGCTTACATAACAGGCAAGGGAATATTGGGGCCTCGGTCTGCACGTGTAAGGAAAGGGGTGGGGCTTGCGCATGCGCACAGCCTTGCAAGTGTTGACCGCTTCTCTGGTCCCTTCTAGGAACTAGCCAAGTATGAGGACATGGAGGACCAAGTCATACTGACTGAGAAAGGTAAGGTGCTCATTGGCATGGTCAGCTGCTCCCCTCGGTTGCCATTCCTTGTTGGTGCCTGGCTCTAATGTCTGCCCCCTTGCAGATCTGCTGGAGGACGGCTTCGGGGAGCACCCGTTCTACCACTGCCTAGTGGCGGAAGTGCCCAAGGAAGTGTGGACACCAGAAGGTGAGACTTGCTGCTGCTCCTGGTCTTAACATGAGAAATGCACAGGCCGCACGCAGCCTGAGGTAATGCCGCTGATTGTACGTAAGGCCTCCGCTGTTAAAATGCGGTAAGAGGAAAAGGTTTAAGTGTTGAGATGCAACTGTGCAGATTGCAGTAGCTTTCTAAGTAATCTGCCAGCCTGAAGAGCATGGGAGACCAGGTATAATAAATATAATGTGCTTTAATTCCATTTCATTAAATGGTTTTCTTGTTTGACCCTAATTTACCTCTTATGTAATTCTGTTGAATCACATTTTTTCTTTAATTTGTCCCCAATCTTCAGGTTACAGTCTCTAGCTTCGCCATGTACATGGCCCTTCCGTGTACATGGATGGGCGGGGAGGTAACTAAAAGATCCGTTACACAATAAAGTAGATGATCATGATATGAGGTAAGGTCTACAGGGACAAGTACTATTCCCAAACCTTTACCAAAAAAACACGGTAGATCAGAAATCCTGTATGCACTGTCTTCCTATGAGCATGTGCGAAGCACTATGGTAAAAATGCGATTTCAATTTTTCAAGTTTTAGGATTGAATGGAATGATGTGGGAAGAGTTGGCTCCTCTTCCAGGCTGAGCTATGGAATTGTTGTTGGTCAAAGTAGATAATAGCTTCCTGTTGCTGAGGGTAGAGAGAGACTGATGCTATCAGTGGGAGCACAGAGGAAGCAGTGTTGGAGATGCCATTACAGCAGCTAATGGCTGAGAGAGAGCACTCCTGGCTTCCCACAGAGCAATTTTTGAGAAATTGGAAGATGAAGTAGTGCTTTTTAGATTACATTCATTATTAGTTTTATGCTCAGATTCTAAGGAAGCAAAGTTGAGCTCACTGTCACCAGATTCTGAACTGCCGTGTCAATCTTAGTCTGATTTGTATTCCAAAGTGGACATACTGATAAATCATTAGGGTATGTATGTATCTGTACCAGAAAACCTTGGTTGTTTGGTGCTTATTTTTAATTGTAACACTGGCTTTGAAGATGCAGGGTATCAGAAGGATAAGTTCTCATTTTCTAAGGCTGATTCAGGTTGCAGGAATTTGTCTTAACTGTAACTTATTGCGCTTATTGTAAACTTCTATTCCTAAACCCAGCCTATGATAGTTGCAAATTTAATAGTTGCATGTTACAGAAATGGCCTAGGCATTAAGACATGCATGTGAGACTAATTTCTTTCTTTTCTCTTTTTTTTTTTTTTTTTTTTTTTTTTTTTTTTTTTTGAAGGCAACAAAATTTTAAGTTTTTACTAAAGTAATAAAACTTTTTGTTTCAGAACATTGTGTTGTGGGTTTTGCCATGTATTACTTCACTTATGACCCATGGATTGGAAAACTGCTGTATCTTGAAGACTTCTATGTGATGTCTGACTACAGAGGTATGTTCTAATCTATAGTAGTAGATTGGAAAATTTATATTTTTTTAAATGGTGTGTTTAAGAAGTACACTACTGGAATAGTTTGGGGGTTTTTTTGCTTTTTAGGGCTTGGCATTGGTTCAGAAATTTTGAAGAAGCTGAGTCAGGTATGTTGTGGCTTTTTCATTCTTCCATTAGACTCTTTTTTTTTTTTTTTTTTAAGCACCAAACAAGTAATATGTAATCAGTGCTGATTATTGGTTGTACAAACTACTGCCTTCAAACACTACTTGGAAATAAGGGATTTAGTGGCATTAGTGAAAGAAAAATACATCCTATAAACTGTTTCTACTAATCCTAATTCTGACAAGCACAATAGAAAGCAGACAAATCCCAGAGGATAGGGTAAAGGAAACCAGCCACACTTAACACTGCAGCCACTGTTTAGTGGCATCCATTTCAGCTCTGATTCAAGCTGCAATTTATTAGCCTATTAGTGGAAGGATAGCCAAGTTCATGTATACAGCAAATGAGATTGGTCTGTCTTTTAGTCTACTCCGTAATATTTCCATAGGTTGCTGTTAAAAGTCGCTGCAGCAGTATGCACTTCCTGGTGGCAGAATGGAATGAACCTTCCATCAGGTTCTATAAGAGAAGGGGTGCCTCAGATCTGTCGACTGAGGAAGGGTGGAGACTCTTCAGAATTGACAAAGAATACTTGTTGAAAATGGCAACTGAAGAGTGAAATTGTTCCAGCACATGACAAATCCTATCTGCGAATTATACTTTGAATAAATTCTTGCCTTATTCTTGCTTTGTGTACAGTCTGTAGTGAAATAAATAGCACAGATGTTCAAGAGCTTTACCAGTGCTGAGAGTAGTGAGATAATAGCTACTGTACCCCAGAATTGACACAGCTGTGAAGTCCAGTTTTTTTGCTTGTATACATCTTTCACTAGTGTGGGCTTGTGATCTTTAAATATATATTGAATAAAACTTCATTCTTGTAAGTGTAATGCAAATGTGTACAATGTACACACGGGTAGGGTTTGTTTCAGCTTCATTTTATAAGAATATAGTATTTTTATGTTCATTTTGTGTGTGTAAAAATAAAGTAGTTTTCTTCACTATGCTTGGCTGGTGTTACAAGAGGTTTTTAATCAGAATTCAAAAGTAGATCTTCAAAACAGAAATGCAAAACTCTGGAAGTCCAAGAGTTCTGCATTTCTTTTTGTCTCAGGCCAACACGGGTACCAAATACATCCCTGATCCTCAAAACATCCATCTATCTAAATCAGGTGGGCCATATGCAGCCCACCATGCCATTCTATCTGGCCCGTAAGGCTCCTAAAAAGTTTAGAAAATTAATATTTATCTGCGCCTGGCTGCCTGTCATGCGTCCCTCAATGGCTTGCCAAAACTCAGTAAGTGACCCTCTGCCTGAAATAATTGCCCACCCCGATCAAAATCCTACCTACCCCAAAAAGGACCAACTCTCCAGTCTCTGTTTCTATGCTATCAGACCTTCAGACCTTGTACCAAATCCCTACTGCTTAGGAGGATCTACAATTCAGGTGTTCCACTTACCTTAGGTGCAAGACCAAATGTGATAGAGAAGCTGAGAATGTATCTAACAGCTTGTAAATTGGGGATAGAGGAACACAGGTGGTGCATTCCTCTATCCCTCAACAACGGGTATCTATGAGAGACCGGAGTTCACTTAATTTTGCCTGAAAAGTATCAGCTCTAATCCCTGTTATTGTTGGGGGGAAGCTCTCAACATTTCATGATTAACCTCTTCATTTTGCACAAAAAAAAATTGGTGTGGGGGATTGAATGCGACACTCAGGCCTAGTAATTTAATCACTTGTGAGGAAGACTTGAAATTGTAATGTACATTGGTTTAACTAAAATCTATTTCTACATGGCAGCCAACCTCTGGATGCAAATCAGAAGTCAGATTTCCAGTAGATTCCTTATGAACAAACCTTAACCCTAGTTGGTGTTAAAGTGTGTACAGATGAATTTGGGACTAGATCTACAGAAAGACTGAAGTGCAGAAGACCAACAGCGTGATTCTCAAAACATCTCTCAGTTGCTGCTTAACTATAGCGTCCAAAATTCTGTTTCTGGATGTAACCAGAAGTACATTAGCCTGAGTAGTGGTCAGCAGCTAGGTGATTAGATGACACCTATGCTCTGTCAGGATCTGCAAACAAAGGACTCTTTCACCTTTATACTTACTGGGTGATGTCGGGTGAGCACTCCAAGACTATTAAACAGATCAAGTTTCATTTAAAAACAGCTCCAGGAGGAGATTGCCCCACCCCTTAATGTAACATACATGTGTCATTCAATCTGTGGCTCTGGAGGAGCTAGCACAAGTAGGGGCAGAGCCCATGACTAATTACCAATTACCCACCACTAATTACACTGTTTCAGTGGCAGCTGAACGACCAATAACTGTTAACCTCCGTAGCATCCTTATGTCATCTGTCGTGCCACCAGAGCTGGGTCTGGAGCTGGCTCGTAAGGAGCACTATGGTCTGGATCTGACCCAGGGACTGAATCAGCTTGATGCCCCTGTCCTGATAAATAACTGGTTAGAGCACTCACTCTGGAAGTAGGTAAAATTCCTCTCTGCATGAGGTTATTCAAAATTATATTACCTCAAGCTAAGCTTTTGGGAGGAAGGTAACACTCAGTTCCTTCTGTTGAAAACATTACACTGTACAAATTGCTTAAATATTTAGTAGGCCAGGGAGGAAAAAAAATGGCTCAATTGAGTCTTTTGCAAAGGGCAGGTCAAAGTAATATAGCTCAGCCCTAAGGCCAGTCACTGTGACCTGGCCACCCCGCTGTCACTGCGTACCACTTTATTCACCCTAGGCCAGTGCTTCCCAAACCTGGTGGGCTCTCTCACACCTTCATACTGCAATCACTGCCAAGACTCACCCCCATGGTGAATGCCACTGATTCCAGTGGCAACGGACAATGGACAGTAGCACAAAAAACAGCAGCTGCAGTAGGGTAGTGTAGACTGCCTGAGTGGGGGGGGTGTCTCTGTTCTGGCCCACATTCACTGTGTGCCAATCACCTCCACCACAGAAAGCCATCACATGCTGCTGCTCAAGACACAAAAGTGCTGCAATACTGAATATTACTGTCTCTACATCCTTCTGTGGTTTGCAGCAGCTCTACATTGGCATTAAAGCTGTATCTAGTAATATAGGTGAGGTCAGAAGATTAAAACTAGTATCCGTCCTCATAAAACCAGTGTAAGGACATGTTTGTTCTCAAATTAATTCATTAGCTATTTAGGATACAACCACACAAGTACTCCTGAACCACTCTCATAACTGACTCCTGGAATTGGAGAAAAATGACATTGCTGCCTGATTATTTGGAACTACAGGGAAGTTTACAGAAATGTCTCTACACATTTTCCTCTGCCAGTATTCACAACCACATTTTTTTGCTGCAGCACAAAGATTCCCTTCGCTACACAGCAGAAAATGAATCAAGCAGCATATTCTTTGGCTAACTATAATTTCAGACAAACAGCTGAAAGCAAATAACTTTCAGATGTGTGATTATGCCTGCCATCTCGTTAGTTAGGGGTTGCTCAAAAATACCCAAACATCTGAAAAGCTGTCTCAGAATTCTGAGCAGCAAATATTCAAAGAGGGTTATCGCAGCAGAGGAGCTGCTCTGCGGTAAAAACAAATTAAGGTCAATACAGAGAGGCCTCTTCTTGTATGATTTTCATACAACTTGTGGAATCAGCTCAGGAGACAAATGAATTGAAAACATAACCATAACCAAAAGTCACGATTAAGGATTTTCAACTTGCTACGCTTATGCATAAACATTACATCGACTGACCAAAGCATAAGGAAAAAAAGTAATTTCATTACTAGGGTCACTTGACATTAGGAATTTGTACCAATATAATTGAAGCAGTACAACCCTAGGCTGAGGGTATAGTTATATAAAGGTGCTTTATACTAACGTATCTTATTCCCCTTCCTGTACATCCATAAAAAAATACCAATGTAACTGTGTACACACTGAAACTTGCACTAGTATGACAGTATCAGTGAAATGTCACTGTACTCCTAAGCAGTATATAAATTTTATTCAGTGTTTACTCTTTGCATAACATATATGATATGTGATATCTAATAAAAGATATCACCTCTTCCACAAGTTTTGATTCCTTGATTTTGCATGCATGCACATGTGTGATCTTACACAATCGCATATGCATATCTAGGCTTGTTTATGTTGGAAACCAATATCATGTGGTCAAGGGAAATTGACTACTACCTTGTACTTTGTGTATTTAATCCCTTCCCCCTGCCCCTCCCCCCCCAAGTCACTCAACAAGCTCAAACAAATAAAAACAAGTAATATTTTAGATGCCAAACATAACCGATGCTGTTTTTTTAAGGAATCAGTTTTATAAAGTCAGGTGCTACTGTACATTTCTATTATACTTCTCAACCAATTAAAATGTCAGAAGTTAATGCCAATTTATAAGAAAATCATTGTATATGTTATGTCTTGGACTTGGTTCCAATCCAACAAAGGACTTCAGCACATTCTTAAATTTTAAGCATGTTAGTAAAATGCTTTGCTGGACTGGAGCAATTTAGCAAAGTGAGAGTATATAAAATTAGAACAATGTCCAAGTCCCTATTTTATACATGGCTTTTTAAGAGGAGTCCTGGTCAAAAGGAAAATCCTTTTCAGTTTGGGATGCTCCCTTACTACCAAAAGGAGGCTTCAGGTCTGTTCTTATCTTGCTATACTAAAGCAAAATGAATGAGCTGTCCAATTTGGGAGCTTCTGCAGATCAGGTTAAACCTTTAAGAAAAGGATCTGGAGCTCAGTTAGGTTTATTTTTCATTGGATGAACCTTAATAAGTGTAGTCAATGGCACAATTAAGTTAAACGATAATCTGAACTGTGACAAAAAGTATCTATCAACATTCAAGATTGCAGTATACTCTCCAGAGAAGAGCCCAGTACCCAAAGCTCCACTGATTTCAGTAAGACTGCACAAGGAGAAAAGGGATTGCTCAAACAGAGCTTATTATAGGGCTGGAAAGTATAGCAGCTTCTATCTGAAGTAATGAACTATTTACACTACTGGAACTATCACCACGGGGATAGAGAAAGGAAGAGTCAGGGTCTCACACCATCTCTAACAGCAGACAAAGAGGAACTGAAAAGCTGCTAGAGCAAGCGGAACCCACGTCCTCATTCTCAGATGTAAGGCTCAGTTTCAAAACACATTCCCCAGCCCCTTGTACTGCTCCAAAATGTTTAGCTAGGCAACCAGGACCAGCCCTGGACCCTCTGGTGGCAGTGGCAGAAGGGAGAGCCATTAAAATGTAACATCCCAGGGGAAATTGAAAATATAAATTTAATTAGGAATCATTTAAGTAAAAAAAAGAGTTCACACTGATAAGTTATGGATCCATTGGAAGTCTTGAAGAAGGGACTGGATAGAAACCTTGCTGGGATCATTTAGTCTCAGCAGGATTCCTGCCCAGAGCAGGGAGGATGGACTCGATCTCTCAAGGTCTCTTCTAGCCCTTAATTTCTATGATTCTATGATTCATTGTTGTCTCATAATAATTTTTACCTCAGGCAGACTGCATAAATCTTAACTAAAGCTTAGCAAGAGCCAAAACAAAACAAAAACAATTTTTTTTAAACAAAAGGTATTTGTCACTGGAAAGTAATAGGCAAAATAGCCAGAGAAAGACAGTGAAAGAGTCCAGCCTCAGAGAAATTATGCTCA